CTCAGAGCACTTCATGGAAGAGCCGAGGTTGCCTGCACCTCTTTGCCTTTTTGTAGGCTGCAGATGCTTGGAGTAGGGGGGCTGGGGTACATCAACATCCTGAGTCAGTCATCCTGGATTTAGCGTCACACAGAGTAGATGGCTGAGTTGGAAGCCTGGGCCTCTCAGCCAGTTTGTATTAATCATTTCTCACACGGCTGTCTCTGTACACACTGTGCTTTGATATGTTGAAGACTGGTTCCCCAGCCCACGGCACTTTTGGGAGGAAGTGGTTCCTTGAAGAAGTGGGGCCTTGCTGGAGGAAGTTAGGTCACAGGAAGGGGATACTGAGGCCCCACCCCTTCCTGTCTGTCTTGGCTTCCTGGCCACCATGAACTGAGCAGCTTCCTGTGCCGAGCCCGTCTGCCATCCTCCTCACCATAGGCCCAGCATGACGGGGCCAACTGACCATGGATTGAAGCCTCTGGAACCAAGAGCCAAGGTAAACTTCCTGCTTTTCAAGCTGATTCTCTGGGACATTTTGTTCCAGTGATGGAAAGCCAACTCACACAGGACACCAAAATCACCTCACTCTCTCTTTGCAGGGGCCCCAGAGGTGGGGTCTCTCATTAGCCCCCATTTTACGGATCAGGAAACAGATACACAAGAGAGCAGGGAAGCCCCAGGGCCCCACAGGATGGCAGCCTGGATCCCACATCCAAGACTTGCTTTCCACCCGTGGGCCCTGATCCTGTGTGCTTTGACTTGTGTTTGTATCCCCAGTGCCCGACATAAGCAAGCACTTGATATGGGAGCTGGTTGAATAGACAAACCAATGCATCAAGACCTAAGGGGGAAAAAAAAAGAGGGTCTCTGGGCCCCAGTTTCCCCTTCTGTGATGGCGGAGTTGGTCGAGATGCTGTTTCCTGCACCCCCAGCTCCGAGCAATCCAAGCTACGCCACAGCTCTCCATAGCTCAGGTCACGGTGCCCCTCCTCCCGCCGGCTTCCTGAGGTGTTCGGAATATGACCCCAGCTCCAGCCCCTTAGACAGCCAGAGCCCCGCCCACCGGAGCAGCCATCTTCCCAGCAGATGCTGTGATATCACCCTGGGGCCACCCGTGGACAGCTAGGAAGTTCAGCGGTTGTCTGAGTCCTCCTTAGCCTCAGTGATGGACGCAGAGCTCCAAGACAGGAACGTTCTATGAAAACAAAGGGCCTTCCCCGGGAGGGTCAGAGGTCCAGCTTTGGTGTGTGTCTCCTGGATTTCTGTTGTTTGCATACTGGCGTGATGACATTCACCCAAGCTTGCTACCAAGCCTATTGCTCTGTACTTTCCATTTTCTTTAAATCGGCTTTAAATTAATCTATCTTTTTTTCTCTCTCTCCTTTCTTCCTTTTTTTTTTTCTTCCTTCTTTTCCTCCTTCCTTAGAACAGTCTCATTCTAAGGAACACCGTCCAGGAAATCGCAGCACCAGCATGCCCGTGCCTCTGTGGACCATCTGCCACTGTCCCCTTTGTCACAGTCCTGGGGACTGAGAGTTGGAAAACCCTCATTTTCAAGCGATCGTTTTAAGTCCCAAGGGAGTCTTTTAAAGCAACCTCGGTGCACATGTTCCTCGGTAGCGGCAGACAAGACGTTTCACTGGTTTTATTTTCTCCTTTGTGCTTTTCTGTGGCTCTCCTATTTTTAGCGAAAGTAGAGAGTGCCTCTGTCACTGGAAACCATAAATGAATGTTGGGAAACAACTCAGACATCTTCGGCCTTTTTCCAAACTCAGAGCAGGGTGAGCACCCAGACATGCACCAAATGAATCCAGAACTAAGGAGTGCGCTTAGCCCTTCAAACCCCTCTCTCTCTCCTATTCCAGTTCCAGTTGTCCCAAATGTCATCCCTCCTGCTTGTCTCCCACAGCCAGCTGTCACCGGGTGTGTGGGGGACAGGAAACAGGATTGCAAGATTAGTGGTGAGCCTGCCGTTCCTGCCTGGCTGTTATCACGGTGGAGTCCGCAGAGCCACAGTCCCCACTTGTCACTACCTGCTGTGACCTGGGCCGGGGGGCAGGGTGGGGGAACACAAGGGCCCAAAATAAATTCTGGGAAAGGGCAACACTGGCAGCGACGGGGAGTTTTCCTCCAGATCAGGTCAATTTTAAGCCAGTTGGTGGCGCACACCCGATCCCACTACTCAGCAGGCTAAGACAGGAGGCCACAAGTTCGAGGTCAGCCTGGGCTACATGGTGAGTTCAAGGCGGGCCTGAGCTACATAGTGAGGCTGTCAGAAAGAAGAAGAAGAAGGAGGAGGAGGAGGAGAAGGAGGAGAAGAAGAAGAAGAGAAGAAGAGGAGGAGGAAGAGGGAGGAGGAGGTAAGGAGGAGGAGGAGGAGAAGGAGGAGAAGAAGAAGAAGAGAAGAAGAGGAGGAGGAAGAGGAGGAGGAGGAGGAGGAGGAGGAAGCAGAGGCAAAGCAGATTTCTTTTTACTGAGTGCAGACTAAAATTCAAGCCATCCAGAGGCATTTTCTTTTTCTTTTTCTTTTTTCTTTTTTTTTTTTGGTACCGAGGATTGAACTCAGGTCCTTGTGCTTGAGAGGCAGGTGGCGCAACCACTGAGCTAAATCCCCAGCCAGAGGCATTTTCTTATGGCACTCCGAGGTTAAGTGGCACATCCAAAGTCATACGGTAATAAGTGCAAGGCAAGACTTGGCCCCAGGCTCATCTGACCTGAAGCCACTGCCCTCTCTGGCCTTCCCCAGGGATCAAGACTGGGGAGGGAGGGGCATCTGCCTCGGCGCTGAGCCAGGTACTCACTGCACATCCCCTGCCTGGACTCCCTTCCTGTCGGACATCTGTGCCATGGGTTCCCAGGGGAAGTCAGGAGGGGTCCTGGAAGAAGGCACCTGCCCACCACGCTTCCTGTTTCCGGGAGGGAGAAGGAACCACGTGGAGAGCAAGAAGGTTAGGACTCGGCCAGGGGATGCGTGAGGCGAGAGCTTGGGGCAAACAGAACTTGCAGGCCGGAGCTAAAAGCCGAGGAAAGCATCCAGGCACAGGGCCCCTGCTTCAGCAGCGTGGGACAGACAGCGGGGACAGAATGAGGACACAGCCAGGACGTGAGCTGGCCAGATGTGAAGGGCAAGATCAGCCAGGAGGAGGCGGAGCCTGGCCCTTACACTGAAGGACCGTGAGGGACCCTGGAAGGGGCTCCGCTACGAAGTGGCCCCTCTGGTTTGTGTTTCCCAAGGTCGGGGCCATAGCGGCCTGGAGAATGTCCCTGAGAAGAGGCAGCAGGCAGGGCTAAATGGCTCAGGAGGCTTTGGCCGACGAGAAGGTGGGGCTGGGACATGCGGGCCAGCGGGAGAAAGCAGGGGAAGGCTGAGATGTGTGCAGAGTGGGGACCAGGCACAAACAAGCCCTGGGGTCAGGCCCATCGCCCCCTAAAAGAGGTGGACTCGACAGGACAGGAGACAGTTAGCAGAGGGGTGGCAGGTGGCCCGTGAACCTATTAGCCCTCTGCTCTTGACCTTGCTGGAAGGAGGAAGAAGAGAGGGATGTGGAGACTGGCAGGCTGAGGGCAGCCTGAACCTCTCTGTGGACCACAGGGCTGGGACCTCGGCAATGGCTAAGCCACCCTCGTGGAAAATAACTGCCAAAGGCATGAATTCTGAACACTTTAAGAACAAAAATGGGGCATAAATAAAATGGGATCTTTCTCAGCTGAGATGTGATTTTTTTTTTTTTAAGACAAAATCTCACTATGTAGTTCAGGCTGGTCTTGAGCTCACTGTAGCCTAGGCTGGCCTTGAATTCCCAGAGATCCTCCTGCCTCAGCTTCCCAAGTGCAGGGATTACAGGCACGCGTTATCACACCTGGCTCGAAGATGTGATTTTTGTTGTTACTACTTCCACTGACCCTGGGACTGAATCTAATGTCAGTTTCAAAATGTAGATGCTTGAAACAGGAAAAAAGAAGTTTTAAATAATACCTTTTAAAAACTCGCTATTTTTGCAACAAAAAAAAAAAAAAAAAGTCACCTTAGGAATTCACAACCAGGAAGACAAAACAAACTATGACCCAGGAATGCACTGGCCTGCGCCATACACAGTCACACTTGAAGGTAAGGTTCAACATGTTTTTTAAAAGAAGCAAAATTATATCTGGGGAGCCTGTTATCTAAAAATAATCTCCTCGGCACACAGTTCTGAATCCAGTGTTTAAACCCCAAGGCCGTGGCCTTTCCCTCTCTCCCCTCTCTTTGAAGGGATATATCTGTGTGGCTGCCTGATTCTCCCTTTCTGTGTCGTCCAAAAAGCATAAGGAAAAACATCCTAAATGACTTCATTTTATTTTGAAACCCTAAACCCACCAAAAGGAAGAAGCAGGGAAAGCCTCCCTTGGTCCGCGGCACCAAGCGATCAAGATGTTATTTCCCTGCCATATGGAGAATGACTCTGGAAGCCTATCAAGAGGTAAAGAGAACACTTGACAAAACTGTCCCTGGCTGTCCAGTCCTTTCCAATCAGACCCAATTCCCACTCTTCTATTTGTCGTATCAGCGAATGTGACCACAGGATATGTAAAAATACCAAGCAATTTTTAGCACCAGCTTCCAATTCCCCGGCGCCCTGGATACCATATGGTGTCAAGTTGGTCTGCAGTTCACCCCCAGGAGATCTGGCCACTGAACTTCTCTCTCATTTACCAAGAGTTGTTGCCAGAAAGAAAGCGCTCATCGGCTGTGACTTATGGGAAGGGGAAGAGAGAGAGAGGGCGTCGGCACGGGGAGAGGCAGCAGAGAGAACAGGGCAGCCCAGGCTCCCTGGATGGACACAGCGACCCGTCTGCCCCGTGTCCTCTCTCTCTGCTGGTCCCTCCAGGTGGCCTGCAGTCCCAACTGCACAGGAAGTGGACGACAGATGGGTCCCGGCCTCCCTCGTCCTGTGTCTCACAAGGCTGCGGCAGGGATGCTGGGGGTGATGTGGGGGACGTGTGTGGAGCAGGAGGTCGGGAATCCGCTTTCCTACCTTTGCATCCTCGACATTCTGTGCAGTTCCATGTCGTCGCTGCCCCGGAAGCCTTTGGCAAAGGGATTATTCTCAATCTTCAATTGTGTGATCTGGAGGAGGAGGAGAGGGCACGCGTTTACACTTGATCGCTACAAGACAACCTCCAGGCGCGAGCTAACGGATATACAGACGTGGCGTGGGCGACCAGAAGAGGATTAAGCAGCTACGAACGGGACCTAGCACTTCTTAGAGTGGAGGCTTTGAACAAGAACCTAGATCAAACTGGATGTAAAGGGGAAAACAACCTGGATTCCTTTTGCTCACTGAGTCACATTCTCCACTATTCCAGCTGGGGTGTGTGTGTGTGTGTGTGTGTGTGTGTGTGTGTGTGTGGTGTTTTGTGTTCCACACACAGTCTAGGCTTTAACATCTGTCCCTGCTCCCCCTCAGAAAGCTGTGCCTCCTGGCACAGTTGCTGAATATCCGGCAGGGTGGTAATCTCCCATTTGAAGAAAACACGTCTTGATTATTGCTCTCCGAAACCCTGCCCCGCTTCACTTCAGTTTCACAGAGAGATCGCAGCGCAGGAGGAACGTGGTGCCCCATAATAAACAGCAACGCATACAATGACCACGTACAGGGAAGTTATCTCACAGTCCCAAAGTGTCGCCCTCCATCTCTCGGGAGGAAAGAGAAAGCTAGCTCTTAGGAGTCAGCACCACGGCGGCGTGCAGAGCCTCACAACTGAACGGGGATCTTTTGCCTGTTTTGGTTCCAGGCCTAGCACTTTAAACCATCAACACACGTGACTTTAGTGTGATCATACAGCAGCGGATCCAGGTGACAGAGGGCGTCCACATGGAGTTCACGGGAAGTATTTCCTGAAGATTAAGCGTGAGTTGAGGTTTCGGACACAGAACTGTGGTGCAGATATGGGGACATTGTGACTCCGACTTCATCACCAGAGTTCTCTCTCCTCGTGGCTATCACAGCCATAGGGCACCTGTGTGCTAACGGGCTTCATATTTTCATTACAACCAAGCCCCTTTTATTGACATTTATTTTACCCAGAAATATTATACCGCTTCTCTGAACGACAAACTCGAATCACGTGCCAATTAGTGAAAAGGAAACGGTTGTATCTAATTCTCCCTGCTGGCCTTCATCGCGAGCTCCACCCATAGCCTGCCTTCTCCCGGCTGCAAGAAGAGATTGGTCATCTTTAGAGAAATATTTAACAGAAACTAACACTGAATTAAACCTAACTTTGTCTCTGTCTGTCTCAGTCTCTGTTTCTCTCCCTGCCTATCTCCCCCACCCACTCTGTCTCCTTTCTTTCCTCCCCCCATCCTTGGAAGACTATAAAGGTAATTAAAAATAGAACAACTAAGCCAGGGCTGGCGACGCACACCTGTAACCCTAGCACTTGGGAGGCCGAGGCAGGGGGATCACCAAGAGTTCAAGGCCAGCCTTGGCTACTTAGCGAGTTCAAGTCCAGCCTGAAATGCATGCTGAGACACTGTCTCCAAAAAAAAAGCATAGCTTTTTCTCCATGATTCCATCTTATTTGCATAGCCCTAAAAACCACCTCATTTACGCTAGTAGTATATGGACTTTAAAATCCTCTCTAGAAAGGGCCATTAATGAATGTACCCTGTAGTTTGCTCTTATGAGACACCTGCTATCATCCATTTCCTGGAAGCAGTGTGCTGTAAGGTTTTCTTCAAACGCCAAGACTGTGCAACGAGCATAAAATCACTCTATGTGGGCTGGGGTACAGTTCCACGGGAGAGTGCTTGCCTCGAATCTGCAAAGCCCTGGACTTGATCCTCAGCTCTGCCAAAAGTAAACTCCATCAGTGCACGGGAGAACATTTTCACCATACAAATAGATGGATAACTCACACTTTCAATACGTTTTATGATTCCAACCGAATGGCATTCTGGAAAAGGCGAAACCACGGAGAAAGTAAAGAAGGCCAGGGACTGGAGGCAGGAAGGAGGTCAAGCAGATGGGACGCAGAGGGCTTCCGGGGCAGGGGAGCACACACAGAACAGGCAGCATGGAGGCCGAAGCCCAGTGGAAACCACGGGCTTGGGGAGGTGGTGACACGAGGGTGTCCTGGGGCCAAGTCGTATGGGAAATCTCCACACTCCCCACTTCGCTGTGCTGCGGCCCAGAACCTGCTTTTATAAAGTCTATGTAAAAAGACCATCAAATGCCAGCAGGCGTGGACACCCACACACATTCCCTCCCTCCCTCTCGTCCTCCGCCCTCACTGTTTTTAACTAGGATCATTCCTGCGGCTTTCCGAGTCTGTCCTGACCCTCTGCCTGGAGAGCACTGCAAAACCCCCTTACAAAGCCATCTGTACGAGACACGCGCCTGAATCCAGCTGTACTTGGAGGGTCTAAGGACCTGGGACCTGTGGGGCTTTCTTTCCCACTCAGATTTTTGCCACAGTAAAATACAACCCAAGGAATGACAAAAAAAAAAAAATGTTTTTTTAACCATCTCAAAAAGTTAAGTGAAAATTAGACGGTTTCAATAGGGATAAAGGGAATCCTCAACCTTACTCCACCCTGTTCCCTGCCAATGTTGGGAACCAATGAGGATGAAAATTCAAGGCGGAATCAGTGGCCGGCCCACAGCGTCACTGCTCCAATAAGAACTGAGGGCCAGAAACTGCCCTGAGAAAAAAAAGAAAAGCGTGACTTGGATTTCCTCAGCAAAAGCCTTGTTCTCGAACCATCTCCTTACACTCCCAACAGGCTCACTACCCCTCACAACCCCCATTGCTGAAGGACGACACAGTCTCCAGCCCTGAACTGCATGCCCAGCCCACAACTACCTAATTCTTGTGCTAATCATCAAAGCTTGCAAATTTCTGTCTGCAGAACAAAAGTGCCATTTGTTGGACATACACCCAGGTGTGTTGATTTTACATATTTCTTTTGGAGACTGAGCACAGACACCTACAGGACGAAAGAACTCTCCTTTGGTAATATTTCCCTGCAAGTTAATCTGCAGGTGAAATGCCGCCTGCTTTCGTATGTGGCCACTGACCCTAACTCTGTCTGTAAAATTCTCTTCCTAACAGGCTACTCATGGGCACCCAGACCAACACACCTGGACGTCCCCAGTTCTACCGAAGGCCTCCAGTGACTTTTACTCTCAGTGCAAACACACGCTCTCCAAAATGAGCATAAAGCCGGATATCCGGGGGGAAGGGCAGGCTGGGAGAAAATAAATATGAATTCCAGCTCCAACTCGTGAGACAGAGGTTGTAAAAATTAATGAGAATAATTGTTGTGAGTGCTTGCTTTTGAAAAAAAAAAAAAAAAACCCCTTCCCAAGAGCCAAAAATCTTAATTATGTCTCTCTATTAGGAGTTCATTTCCTGGTCCCAACCAGAAAGCTCATACCTCATAAATATGGGCCCCATACACAATGATTTAAGCAGGAGGAAAATGCCTTTTGATGGGAAGTAAGTTAGTATCGAGGGATAGGCGCGCTCACATACACAGGCACTGTTGCAAGAGTGGGAAATGAGATGCCCATGTGGCTTTTTTTTTAACACCTAAATATTTCTGGGGTTTGCTCTGCGAGCTGCTGACAAGTCCAGCGAGGACTTTACAAAAACACATTTCACAGAGCAAATGTCGCTGGGGAAGATTCGAGTTTTGAAATATCTTTTCCAAGCTGTCAACCATCTGGGGAAATAACTCCCAAATCCAGCTTGGGATCACAGCTGGGCGGAGGAAACATGTCCCTTCGGCAGGAACCCTGCGGTCTCCGGGTGTGAGGACCCTGCCACGTACCTCCCTCCACCTGGGACCCGCGTCCACGCAGAGAAAGTGCGTCCTGAGTGCGCCACACCCTTTGACCCAAAAAACACGGACGCCGGTGTTGGCCAGAGTCCCCCTGATACCTGAATCACACGGATGACTTTTCTTGCCCAGCTCCTCTGTCCAAGGCAAAACACTCATGACAGTCTTCAAAGTGATGACATGTTCAGGGAACGGACCAAAGACATCACAGTGACTGACATTTGTAATTAGTTTTCAACCACAGTCCTGAGAACTTGCTGAACATCTTAGCATTTTAGATTCTAAAACAGCCAGGGAGCGACCCTCCGTAGGCCAAGAGTTTTCCAGAGTCTCTGCTCTGACGAGAGCTGTCCTGTTAATAAACTGGTCATAGGCTGGGGATGTAGCTCAGGGGCACGGCGCCTGCCTCGCAATTGCAAGGCCCTGAGTTCGATCCCTGCTACCGCTACAGAAATAAAATAAGAATAAGAAACCAATCAGTGAGGTCGTCAGCCAATGGCTTCTGCTCCTTACTCCCAGGGATTACCTCCACTGATCCTCACAATAATCCCAGGAGGCGGTGCTTTGGGAAACTGAATTAAGTGCTTCACTCAAAGCCAAGTGGATTTGAATCCACACGGTCTGCTCCCAGACTCTGCTCAGCCTGCATGGCGCTGAGTAAGAATTCAGCTGGCTTCTACCCATGAAGTCAGAGGGCTTAACACCCAGCCCAGGTGGGGCAATAAAGCTGAGAGATGGAGCCCACAAATCATGCGCAGCCCCAGCCCGCTTCGTGAGGTCACACGTCATATATCCACGCGGGAAATGCCTGTGAAATCCCTGCCGCTGCCTGGAGAAGCGCCCCGCTTCAGGCCTCTCCTCACACGCAGGGCAGTGGCCCTGGGACTCCACAAGGAAGAAGAAGAGGCATATCTTGTATGGGACAGGGCGACAGGAAGTCCTCCTGGGAAATCCCTCTTCTGCGTGGCAAGGCGTCTGTCAGGCTGGCTGAAAGGGCCTCTCCATGCAGCGCACCTGGGCTCCCTGAGCTGACCCACAGGCAAAAAAAGAAAACTCTCGGTGCAGTCATCAAACATACAGGCATCGAAATCCCTAGCTGGAAACTCACCTTGTCACGAGATGAGCACGGAGACAGCACAAACACACACACACACACACACACACACACACACACTCAACACACACTCATTCAAGTACATAGATCCCTAAATATGCACATCCGGGGAGACTTTTCGAGAAATCTGAGGGGCACTGGATACAGTCATGAGCTTGACTGACAGTTTTACTGGTACGTGCATGTGCGTGTGCCACACACAAAATTGTACCCTCCTGATGCACGGGTGTACATGTAGCTCCATAGTGGAACTGGAAGGCCCTGAGCACACAAAAAAGAAAAAGAAAAATCAGGAACGGTGTGCTTTACATAGTGCATGTCACTGCATGGCAGTTATGCCTGATAGACCTGAAAACAAGGAACGGGAAGGACAGAGCAGCGGTGAGCTCCTCAGCCCTATGCACAGCTCAGGGGTCCTCAGAGAGCTGCACAGAACTTGGGGATTTCGCCCAGAGGACTTGAGCACCCATATTTTTGCGCATGTCATATGTCCACCCCTTCCTGTCCTTTCTCTTTGAATATGGACTTTCTTGGGAGAACAAAAAGAAAAGAGACGATGTATTTTGGGACCCCGTGTCAGGTTTGGGAGGTTCTAAGAACCTATACAGGGGGACTGGAGCTCCCTTCTTGCCATTTTTCTCCGGTGATCACTGCCACAAAGTTCAACGTGGGTTTGCAGCCACCGTGGAGCAGAAAGGTCTGTGGGAGCCAGACTCAAATTGACCCAAACAGTTTTACAACTGTCAGGCTGGGTTTTGGACTTCAGTGTTTTGCTTTTGCCGCTTCATCCAGGGGAGGGAATTCGGAAAAAAAATCTTCCTTCCCTGGTCAAGTTAATTGTGTTTGGGAGAAGGAAGGAAAGAAAGTCTCCCAAGATCTGGAAGGGAGTGGGCACCACAGCTCAGCCTGGCCCCCAGCACCCTGAGTTTGGAGATCACAGGAAGTGGGCCGTCACAGCCCTGGCCTCAGAAAGGGCACCATCTGCCACCCAGTCCGCACCAGAATGACCTTCACGGGGGCAACTGGTGACCTGGGACCCTTCCCTGACTTCTCTGCCAGGCTCTGTGCCCCACCCTCCTACATCAGGTTGCCTGCCGACCCCATGGACCCCACTTTGCTCTCCTACTTTGCCACCTGCCCTTTCCTTGCTTCAGATCCCTCTAAAAGGCAGAATGGAGAAAACAAGGACACAGATTCTGACGGAAAATGCAGCTTCAGGAAAGGGTGGCACTGGGCACCTACCTCAGGGTGAGGCCACGTAATCAAGGGGCAGCTACAGATTGGCAGAGCAAGTGAGGGTCTTTTAAACTTTATTTTAAGTTTATTTATTTATTTACTTACTGCAGCAATTGAGATGGAACCCAGGGCCTACCCACTGCCACACACACACTCACACATGAGCACGCACACGCACACACTCACACACACGCACACCCCGCTTTTTTTTTTTCTTTTCTTTTTTGAGATGGGGTCAGGCTAAGCTGCCCAGGCTGGTCTTTGAACTTGTGATCCTCCTGCCTCAGCCTTTCAGAGCATTGGGATGCTAGGTGAGCCCCACCACACCTGGCTGCCAAGTAGGCGTGTACGTGTGAGACAGTCGTGTCAAGCCCACGGATAGAGTCCAGGCCACTGCAACCCCTGGACTGTGGCTTTGGCCCTGCACAACATCCAGGGGTAGAAGCCTGAGATGTGCATGTGGGTCTCAGGGACCAAACTGCCCTTGATGCACCCGGTTCTGGTGGGGACACTGAATATGCACAAAAGCCAGCAGGTGGCCCCAGGCAGCCTGCTGAAGGCTAGGCTTACCTTGTGATTTTGGTAGGAAGTCACCGCGATAAACGCCGTCTCAGGAAAAACATGGGTGCAGAACGCCGTATTTTTTGAACCAAATCCATTATTTTCGTCTGCTTTCACGATGTGTAATCTGGGCTGGTATTTGTGCATGGAATTTAGAATAATCTAAAAATAATAAAGAAAATGAGATTGTAAGAAAGTCAAAACTCCCTTTGTTTCCCGATAAATCCCTGCTCCCCCACCCCGCACCCCAGGAATTAGCCTCATTATAGAGGCTTGCTCAAAAAATAGTCATTTTTTCCCTCCTGTTTTGAAAGGGGGCCAGTGATTTCATTAAAAAGAAACATTTCAGAAAAGACTATTTCCAACCAAAAAAAAAAAAAAAAGCCACGGTAATATTCCAGGAATCCACCCAAGGCACACAAGGCTGTAAATCAGAATTCTTAATAAAGTTTGCTTAATAAATTAACTCTGCATAGGGCACTTCCCGCACCCCAAGGAGAAGAGCCAAGCAGGTATTGGGGGGGGGCAGCAATTTTTGAATGACTGGTGGAAGATACAAATACATAAACAGACAGATCAATAAACTCCTGCACACAGGCGCACAGAAACCCCTCTAAAAGGCGCAAAGGAAAGCACGAGGTATGTGTAAACCCGGAATAAAAATCACCAGCGCGTTTGCTACCCAGCCTTGCTCTGAGACTTGGCGGGTGAACAGACCCTGGATCTCAAAGTCTTTGTTTGCAGAGCCTGCAGAGACTCCGGGGAAGAGGAGGCTGCGTGGGAAGGAAGGGGAGGCGGTCCAGCCCCTAAGAATAGTGAGAGGTGGGGAAAGCACCCAGAACCCCGCCCGTCAAAGCAGAGCTCTTTGCGCCTGAGGTTCACTTTCTCCAACTTCCCCGACCTTTCAGCTGGGGTCGGGGGTGACTCCTGTCTCTCCATCGCCCTGAGCTAGAGATTCTCCCGGGTTGGTGAGGTCTAACTGCGGGGCGGCGCTGGCTGCCCTGTTGTTATTAGAACCTCTGTTATTCTTAGGAGGAGGAAGAGGACCTCCCGGCGGCACATTCTTGCTGGAGTCGGGACTCTTTCGCTGGCGACGGGCGTGGAGCATCGCTGCTAATAAAACTGGTGGAGCATCGCTGCTAATAAAACTGGGTTTGTTGCCCTCCGGACGCCTGCATTTTGATGCTCCCGGAAGGCTGGTAATGCTAATATTTACCCAAACTGCTCCGATACTAGTCCACCGAATGGGCAAATCGCTGCGTTTTAAGGGCCTGAAAGTCTGCCCTGTTTTTTTCCCCAGGATCGCAAACTGGAACGGCGGCGGCAGGGCTGTCTGCGTCTTTGATTATTTGCATTGATGACCCCGGGGCAGGATTCCCAGACCAACCCTGAAGACCCGGGTGAGGGGGTGGGCGTGCGAGCCCTGGGCCCTGCAGCTCCCGACCTGGCCTCAAGCGCTAATCTCGGGCTGCCGGGGCGGGCCGGCTCCCTGGCCGATAGCAGCCCTAGCCTACCGGGGTGGCGTGGCGACAGAGAGACTCAGAGGGGCCCCGCCGGCCGCCACAGCCCCCGGCCAGTGCAGTCATCGTCCTGGCTTAGCCAAATTGCTCTGACGGCTGGGGACAGCGTGGAGGAATCAGCGCGAGGGTGATCTAATGGCTCCTAATTTCATTAAGGGCTCTGGATTAAAAGTCCAAAGTCTGAGGTCAAGCATGCTTCCCCTTTCTCCTAAACTATTCAGGAGGACTGGAAAAATCACAAGGGTGCCCCACACAGATCAGAAACCAGAGGGAAAACTAGGAGCTGAAATGGCGCTGAGTTTGGTCCCACTTCCCAGGCCGGGGTTCCACAGAGGTTCCAGCCCAGAGTCAGACACCAGCAGGGAGAATTTCACTCAATGGTCCTGGTCCTCCAAGGCCAGCTGGAGGTCACTTCCGCACACGGTCCCCAGGAAGCCACCAGCACCCTTTCACGCCCTCCAGGGGGCACAGCAGCGGAATGGGACTTTCTCCTCCACAGCCAGCCCGCATCCCAACCTTCTCACCACCCACCGTGCAGAGCCCTGCAAGGGCTCCGGGTAGGTCAGCTCCCATGCACCCCTTTCCTTGCTCCACACTGGAGTCCCCGTCGGTCCTTCACTCTCTGGAGAGGAGCCTGGAGGGCCTGAGAGCCACCTTTGGAATTAGAGTGACCTAACCTCAACTCTTTGTCCCCAAATACAAACTGTGTCACCCTGAGCCAGTCAACTCCTGTCCCCTGCGTGGTGCCCCACAAAGCCTGGGCACTTTCACCTTCCTCTCTATGCTACCAGGGCAGTGACCCCACGTGTGGGATGGAGACACGTGTGGGATTCTGAGAGTGGCTTCTTCTGGTGACTCTTTCCAGTGGGGAGAGTTAGGGACACTTTCTCCCAGACCAGAGTTTTGTGCATTTTCTTTGAGGAAGGGGAGCGATGTCCTCCTGAGAATCCACTAAAGGTTGCACACTGTCTTGCACGGGGGAGAGGGGGCTTGCACACTCAGCCTCCTGCATGTAGTTCTGTGGTTTGGGGAATTCACCCTGCCCCTCTCCTGGGGCCACTGAGGACTCCAGTTTGTGTGCTCTGGGCATGGTGGGGTGGGGAGAAAGCCAGCCACGGTGAGGAGACAAAAAGCAGATCTGCCAACAGTATCAAGCTAGAAGCCGGCACTGATGCCAGGGTTTGCCTCCGCGAAGTCCTTCTGCCACCGGGAGTGGCCAACAAGCTGGGCAGATGACCTGGACTTCCTCCCTCTCCTCCGGACATTCCAATAATAGTAAGGCAGGACTTGGAAGGCACAGGGAAGGGACAGAGCTTGCTGTGTACCTATCTGTGTTTTTTGCAGGATGGAAATAGCTTCTACCCCTCACCTCACATAGGACTGAGCCCCGACGGTTCCCCAGACCTTAGGTTTTGCTCTTGAAGCAAACAACCTTCGTCACCCCACACTCAACACTCCAGGTCAGGAAAACCGGGGACCCTGTCTCCAGCTGCCAGGGAAAGACAGACCCAGTGCCAGACCCCAGGGAAGTCAGCAGAGAAGCAGCCTCTGAGCAGAAAGACGGTGGAGACAGAGAAAGAGACAAAAAGAAAGGGGAAACTGACCGAGGCGGGGAGAAATAAGAGGCAAGGAAAGACAGAAGAGATGCATGGGGAAGGAGAAAAACAAGGGAGGGAGGAAAGAAGTGGAGATGAGAAAGAAGGAAACCAAGCGGGGAGCTGGAGCTTTACCGGAGGCGGAGAAGAGAGGAGAGAAAGCCAGCACCGGAAGAAGGGAGCCAGGTGGGACAGACTCACGTGGCCAAACGGATCCAGATGGTTGTTGGTGAGCTTCAGCTTCTGGAAGGACACGAGCTGGCGCATCCAGTGCGCCCCGGTGGCCGGGGAGTCTGGGTGCACGTAGAGGCGGCCAGGCATGGCAGGCTCGGCCTTGCCCGTCACAGACCTAGACCAAGGACAGAGAGGCGTGGTCAGCGACTAAGGGACCATGGTGGCCCGCAATGGCACGGCCCTCCTCGCATGTCCTTCTGGCGTCTCCCAGATGCCCCTGAGGGTCCTGAGTGTGAGCAGCCAAGCCCCAGCCTGCTTCTACTTCTGCTCCTGCTTCTACTCCATCCCTCCCCCAGCACCAGCCACACTAGGGCCCTCACAGCCTCCCGTTGCCCACAAAGAATCGGTGGTTTCTGGACATCTGTGTGCGCAAAATATCTTGAGAGCTCCTTAAGTGTTGCGGGGGCTTCCCCTCCCAGCCTCTGTACGATTGGCAGCCTCAAAAGCCACAGACCCATGGAACGGGCCTCTCCTCTTTTGCCTTTTCAACTCAAATACCATGGGCCGGCTTTGCAATTTCATTAAAAAAAAAAAAAAGCATGTTCAAAGCAGGTAACTCATAAAAAATAGCTGTGAAAGGTTTTATGCGTCCAGCAATACATACAGAGCTTGGTAACAATGCCCTTAAAAAAAAAAAACTACAACCCCTAGGTACAGCAAAAGATGATAGAGGCAGCTCATTTCCTCCCAGCCTCAGTTTTCTGGTCTATACAATGGTGCTCAATACTTGGAGCCGGTCCTTCGTTTCAGGGGGACCTGCAGGATGGGAGAGGTGCACAAGCCAGGTGCCCGCGGTAGACCGGGCGCTCAGAACCCTTCGGCTCGCTTCCCTCCCTGCCGCCCCCAGCTGCCATTCCCACACCTACCATTTATTATCTGCGAACTTGTATCTGTGGTCGTCGGCAGGGACAATGTCCATGAGGAGAATGTACTTGGTCTTGGGATTGAGGCCGGTCACCTTCACTTTGTAACTGGGAAACATCCTCCTAGGAGAGGGTCGGGAGGAGAGGGGAGGGCAGGGGTGAATGCAGCATTCTAAGGAGTGAGAGCAGCCCCGCGTTTTCCCGGAAAGAGCAGTCCTTCGAAAAATGGAGATGAGAAAAGCGGACCCACTCCGCTCTCGCTGCGATCCATCCCAGGTTTCCCTCTATGTTACGAGGAGAGGAGGAAAGGGCTGGTAAAGATGGAGGTGGAGGTGCCTAGGAGGAGAGCGGAAACCGGGCTGCTGCTTGGAGAGCACAGGTTTTAAAGATGGCCTGAAGGGACCCCCTTTCGCCGCTTACCAAACGCTCCCTCTGAGCCAGGTCGCTACTGTTGGGGGGAAATGAAGCTCATTAGGTCCAAAGCCAGCCACCTTCTCAGCCCAGCAGGTGTCCCGTCTGTCCCGTCTCGCCACAGGGTCCCCAGCGCTCCAGAGGGGCAGTGCGTGTGCGTTGGCCTCCCGTCCCCACCGCCGGGGGTTAGCGGGTGGTTTTCTGGGTGATCCCCAGTTTAACCCGATTAGTGCCACGACACGGGTCTTTAGCAGGAGTTTATTCCTAAACGTCCCACCATTTCCCCACGGTGCCTGGCACTCTGCCTAGGAGGCCTGAAATCCTTGGCCCTCGGCAAAACGGTTCCAAACCTATCCGGATTTGACCTCAGAAGGATTCGGGGCCTAACCTGGAATGGAGGGGATTAAAAGGCGCCGGTGCGCGCGGGCGCAGACGGATGACCCTCGGTTTGCTCGCAGCCAGGCGCGCGCCCAGCTCCCTTCCCGTCCCGGGAGGAGTGCGCCCCTGAAATCTGGGGGTCTGGACGAGTCGCCCGAGCTCCACGGCCCCGGCGTCGGCGGTAAGGGCGAGCGAGGCCTCGGCCTGAAGCCCCGGAGCCCGGACCTCGCGTGTTAATGCGCCCTGGCGCGCCTGCGGGCGGCGGCGGAGGCGGAGGAGACCTCACAGGCCTTTTATAGTGAAATCCTCTCGGCCCAGTCTCGGGGGAAAGGGCGCCTGGCTGGGGCTTTCCTTCCTCCGCCGCGGCGGTGGGATGGGAAGGGGACCTCAGTGCCTTGGTATAAACACAACGCGCGCCTCCCGGCTCACTCCGGCTGTGGGCCGAGCGGGGATTTTCTCCCGACTCCCGAGCCTAACCTTTCTAGCTACACGGCCGAGCCGGAGAGGAACTCTGGGGCGAGCGCCTTCCCTAGCGGCCGTGTTTATCGGTGTCTGTGTACAGAGCTCGGCCGAGCCCCGGCTCACTTTCAAAGGCTTTGCCTGCTTTCTATAAACAACGAACGAGGTAGCGAATACATTCAACAATGAAGAGTTTGGCAGTCGCTCCCGAGCCTAACCTTTCTAGCTACACGGCCGAGCCGGAGAGGAACTCTGGGGCGAGCGCCTTCCCTAGCGGCCGTGTTTATCGGTGTCTGTGTACAGAGCTCGGCCGAGCCCCGGCTCACTTTCAAAGGCTTTGCCTGCTTTCTATAAACAACGAACGAGGTAGCGAATACATTCAACAATGAAGAGTTTGGCAGTCGGGTGGGACCCTGGAACCGTTCCAAGGTCGGGGAGGGTGGGAATGGGGGTGGGGGCGAGGAGCCCAGTCCCGGCCTAAAGCCCTTCCTTCTCCTGCCCGCCTTGTTTTTCCTTTCCCTCTTTCTCTCATTGCTGACCCATCCAGACAGCAGAGTCCCCGTGCTCTATTTTTTCTATATTTGCCGTGGACGAAACAAACGACCCGTTTCTGGGGGTTTGGGCATTTCCCCCATTCTTCTGAGAACTGAGGAAGATTTCTCCCCGTGCCCCTTTGGCCAGAATCCAGTCGAAACAAAATGCTCATATTCATTCTCTCTGCCCCCTGTCCTCCCTCCTTCCCCAGCCACCTTTTCTTCTCTCCTGCAATTCCCTTGGCTCCCTCTTTCCCACTAACCAGCTCACCTTCCAGCCTTGGTAATGATCATTTCGGTGCCCACTTCGTGGAATTTCAACCACAGCTCTCTTTCGTGGAGAAACACCTTGATTCCCTCCATACCCTGCAAGAGCCAGAGAAAAATCACAGCGATGGGCCTTGATGCCAGGGTCACTCCCTTCCCCAAATGCCCTGAGAATCTGCAGACTGCTTCTCCTCCTTCCCAAAGTCTGTGCCTCACAGAGTGGATGCCCAGGTCCCAGGAGCACCCAAGGGCTCCTCAGTCCCACAGCATCCTGCTGCCCACCCAATGCCACCCACTAACACAAAGCTCCAGAGGAATCAACCCTGGGGGCTTCAGAAGGACTGGGGAGGACCGGCTGGTTGGTTGATTTAATGTGGCCCAGATACCACTGGAAAAAAAAGAAAAACCCCTCGGTCTAAAAAAGCCCACCTAGGGCCTTCTACAGACACCCAGATGTGCACTCACGAATTTATAGGTGTGCAAACAGTGACTGCATCCAAGTTCCTCTCCAGTCACAGCAGGAGCAGATAGGAACATACATTAAATGTTCGATTTAGAAACACTTATGTTATTAAATGTCCCTGCCGCTCAGAACAGAAGAAAATGATTCTCCATGTCTGTACTAATAAACTTCCCGGGCATCCTCACCTAAGGCCGTTCATTCCAGCAATTTTGATTATGAGTCACGGCTGAAGCCACTCAGCATGGAGTTCTTAACTAAAAGTTGTTTTACAGAATCGTTGCAAAAAATAATATAAACTATTCGTTTTCAAATAATTAGTAATAGTCTAAAAAGTGGTTTCACTTGTCCTTAAAAGAGTCTGCAAGTTTCCAAGCTGTGCTCAGGAGGGCTACTTCTATCAAAATGCACCTACTTTTTCTTTCTTTTTTGAAATGGGAAGGCAGAATCTATGAAAAAGCGTAGGAGGACGAGGACACCCCAAAGAAGCATTTCGGCCATGAGTATGTCTGCATTTTGGTCAAGGGACCCCACGCCGTGCCCCGTGACACTTGTTTTAAAATCACACAGGTCTTCAAGGGCCCCTCCAGCACCCATCACCGCCTGGTTTAGGGAGCTGAGGGCAAGAGGAAGCTCCTCCACTCTTCCAGCCAGGCGAGCCGGCGGCCGGCCCCTGTGCCCTCCCAGCCCAGCCCCGCGCTCCCCTCTGCCGGGAGGGCACAATAGCCACCAGGCCCGACCCAAGACAAATGGTGTGTGTGCTGGGGTCCAGGCAGCAGGCAGAGGCCCAGGCTCCCGAAGATCTAAAGAGGGGTCAGGCCATCACTCACCCCCGCCTGGAGCGGCTGCTGACCCGGCACTTAATAAGGGGCTGGGGCCAATTCTATGCCTAGTGCTGCGGGGGAGAAAAAATTTCGGTCCATTGTTAGCAGACCCCCATAGCAGACAATTGAGATCTTCTCCAACGATTTCAATAGATGTCAAAAATCCTCAAGTCTTACAGATAAGGTGGGGAGCACGACCCTGGAATTTGGTACTGCAATATTCTGGAATTTTGGGAGACAGGGCAGAGCAGAGTGGGGCTGAGTGGGAAAACAGGAGAGGAGGACAATCATTCAGGGGATGCATTTTGCACCCACAGGAGGGACTGAGAAGGGAAGACACACTTGGCTTTACTCTCGCCAGTGTGGGCATCCGGAAGCAAGATTTCCTTACCTGCTGGGTGAAGGCGGCCTGTGGGGACGATGGAGACTTGCTGGGCACCCCTAAGGCGTTCTCAGGTTTGGGATCACAGGACAGGTCTTTCGAATCTGGCTCCAGAGGTGTGTGCGCCAGGCCAAAGCCCTCCTCTGCATCGGCCATGGTCCGCCTGGGGCCCGGTGCCCGAGCAAGGTGCTGCTCTGAGGAGACAGAGGGAGGGAGGGAGAGGGAATTGGAGAGCATAGCTCCAGCCATGGGGGGACAGTTTGGTCCTGTTTCCAGCACCTCCAGTTCCTAGCTAAAGGAGGCTGCGGAGAACCCTACTATGATTACAGTTATCATTACTTTCTGGCCATGCACAGCCCCTCTCGAAAGGCTCACACCAGGGTGGGAGGAGGCGAGCCCCACATCCCCCTGCACAGGCTCTGGCGATAAGTGAGCTGCCCGTCAAATTTGTCCGAACTCTTGCAAGAGCCAATATAGATAAGGCGTCGATATTTTTGGAAGCCATTGGGTACTAACCAAAACCAAGCCAAACAAAAACCCAGAGCCCTGTAGAGAATTTTCTTTTCTCCGTCCATGTTCAGGAGGCTGACAGAGCTTTTTATTAAACCTTACAAATGGAACGTGTGTCTGCAAGCAGGCCAGATGCCCTAAAAACCCGCCTCTTGCAAAACCAAAAGCAGAGGAGAGAGAGGAGGTGCCAATGGGGAGACCAGTTTTCAAAAGAGAATTCCTGGGCATCTTTTATCAGTTAATGGGCGGAAAAGCTCTTTAAAATTAAAAGTCCAACCCTTCCCCCAACCTTAAGCGTAACTTGTCAAAAATAAATAAAAAGTAGCCACACAGATGCCACAGGGAAGAAAATAAGCTTGCAGCGGGTCGAGAGGAGAGCGCCAGGCGCCCGGGTTAGTTCTCCCGGCTTTCTAGGCTCTCTCCCCAGGCGCGCCTGTGTTAGAGCAGCCAGGCCGCTGGAAGCAGCTTCCCAGGCCCGCCCGGCTTCCCTAAGGTGCAGGCCCGGCTGGAGGCTGGAGGGGACGAGCTCGGTCCCTGATGAATGCTGCTTACAGGTATCGGATCGCCTGCCAGGTCCAAAGCAGTACGGAGCGCGGCCCAGTTCTGCAGGATCAGAGGAGGGAACTCCAAAATCACAGCTGCCTCCTGCGCTCTCATCTTCCCGGGTCCTCACCCTTCCCAGCTAAGGATTCGCACCACCACCCCGGCCCCCTACGCGAGGAGACCTTGGGAAAGAGGCGCAAGCCACGGGCCCCACGATCCTAGCGGCGGCTGGGGCAAAAGGCTGGATCCCACCCTGGTGCGCAGCGGCCCAAGATCTAAAGGTGGGGCCGAGAAGTCGGGCTTCTGAGGCGCGATCCCCGAGCCGCTTCTTCCCCGCCGCCCTTGGGGTTTTGGGAAGCAGCTGTGGGAGCCCCGCAATCTGCTCACAACAAAAGAAAGCGGGGCCGGCGCCCCCACGTAGGCTCTCGTTCACTCCGGGCTGAGAAGAGAATCCCACCCGCGCCCTGGCCAGGGTCCGGGGAGCTGGCAGAGGCGAACGCCATGCGCGTTGACAGAACCAGGCC